CCCAGTCTGCCGTTACCACCGCAGCCACGCCCACCCAATTGGCCACACCCACCCAATGGGCCATACCCACCCGGCACCCAACAATGCATAAGTGGGTTTTGGGTTGCAGTTTGGGCACTCGGTCTCTAAAAGGTTCGTCATCACTGGTCCAGGGGGCAAGGAGAAATATACGCAGACTGCTTATTTTTTTTTCCCACTAAACGTATTTATACATTAATTCGACAGGACTGTTATAATTTGGACATATGCAGATAGACAGCTGCTAAATACGGGTACTGCAATCTACATTGTGATTTTCAAAGCTACAAACAAAAAATTAGCACAACAGTGGAGGGGAAGGATGAAAAAAGAAAACAACAACAACTGAGATGTATTTTTTTTTTCCTACATCTAAATCTAACTATACACATAATGAGAATTGATCTACAGAAGTATCTGGGCGCACTACATGAATAGAGCGAAGAGGGGATGAGGCTGGTTTGGTGATTCCTGAGTTGGAAGACAGAAAGGGGGGGGGAGCTACACAACTGTATTTGTACCTTTGATCTATGGGGTGCTGGGACACGAAAGTGCCCCTTCAGTGCCAACTACTGATCATAGGGCATCCACGGCCACAGAAGGAGAAGCTCTGAGGAAGCAATGTCACAGAACAGTATTTAGCCCCTGAATCGTCGGTGTCCTGCACTGCAAGGGAGCGACTGCTTTGGCCAAGAAGAAGCATTCAAGAGAAGTTCCAGGAAGGCCTTTCAGGGGAACAGGAGAAACTGAAGGTGCCAGACACACACACCCCCCCCAGGCAAGATCACCCCCATCAGCAACTGCCCGAGGCGAAGAAGGGTTCCTGCTCAACCGACTTTCCCAGTGAGGTGTTTGAATGGACTAGCTAGTGGCCAAGAGTGGAGGTCTTCTTCTCCATGGTGGTCCTAGTCCAGGGGTAGGCAACCTCGGCTCTTTTATGACTCATGGACTTCAACTCCCAGAATTCCTGAGTCAGGAACTTGGAAGGACCACCATAGAGAAGAAGACCACCATAGAGAAGAAGACCTCCGCTGTGCTGACTCAGGAATTCTGGGAGTTGAAGTCCATGAGTCATAAAAGAGCCGAGGTTGCCCACCCCTGGACTAGGACCACCATGGAGAAGACCTCCGCTGTGCTGACTCAGGAATTCTGGGAGTTGAAGTCCATGAGTCATAAAAGAGCCGAGGTTGCCCACCCCTGGACTAGGACCACCATGGAGAAGACCTCCGCTGTGCTGACTCAGGAATTCTGGAAGTTGAAGTCCATGAGTCATAAAAGAGCCGAGGTTGCCCACCCCTGGACTAGGACCACCATGGAGAAGACCTCCACTGTGCTGACTCAGGAATTCTGGGAGTTGAAGTCCATGAGTCATAAAAGAGCCGAGGTTGCCCACCCCTGGACTAGGACCACCATGGAGAAGAAGACCTCCGCTCTTGGCCACTAGCTGGCCCTTCTCTCCTTTCAAAATGCAGATCCTGACCTGGATCCTTAGTCTATTGAGCATCTATAGACCAAGCCACGATGGTCCTCATACAACACTAAGCTAGAAAACCACGATTTATTTAGCACAATGGCTGGGGGAAAAACCATCTTGCCAAAAACAGAATTGAACGCATCAGGCCAGAGCTTTGCGCAACACCTGAATATAATAAGACAAAAAATGTCATTTGCCCTCATTTGGGGGGCATTTTTAGTGTTCTTCGTTTGGCAGGAGGAGACCCAAAAAACATCCCAGTCTTGATTCACACCCACAGATGTATAAAATGCAGCAGGGGAAAGGAAGCAAAGGGGGAAAAAACTCCAAAAGAGCAGCTCTGAGAACTTTTCTTGTCTTTCACATGTGGCACAAAGATCTTTACAACTCTTTCTTGAAAGTGCTTTATTTCCAGACTTCCAAATATTGAAGATTATAAGCTGGATGGGGGGGGAGACCACTTGGGGGAGGAAGGGATCCACCATCCTGACCCTTTCTCGCCCTCACTCCTCTTTCACAAAATAAAAAAAAACCCATTAAACCAGGGGTAGTCAACCTTGGCTCTTTTATGACTCGTGGACTTCAACTCCCAGAATTCCTGAGCCAGCACAGCTGGCTCAGGAATTCTGGGAGTTGAAGTCCACGAGTCATAAAAGAGCCAAGGTTGACTACCCCTGCATTAGACAATTCCAGCCTAGCACTTTTCCCTCCCTATTTAGCTTCCTATTTGAGCAGCATCCAGCTCAGCCCTCGCTCTTTAGCCCAGCAAGGGAGGATGGGACTTCTAATTTGTACTTATGTAAGAAGCCTGCCTTGCTAATCCTAGTTGGGATTAGCCGATGGTGGGCTTCCTCTCTCTGTGCTTGAGAACTGGAGGTGTCGGGGTAGAGTGACATTTTGAATAGATTTAAGTCCAGATGGTGCACGTGGACCTCGGAGGGCGGATACCACCCGTCGGAAAGCCTCAACCTTGGGGGAAGCTGATCCGGTTGGGGGTGGAACAAGCCGAGCACCACGTCTTGTTGCTGAAAACAAGTGCTGACCCAGCTTAAAGCCCATCTCTTTCAGAAAGAGAGAAGTTGGCTACTAAAGTACCTCATCAAGCCAAGAGCTCGCCAATTTCCAAGGTCGGCATTTGCAAGTGGTGGCCCACCACAGCGTCTGAAAATGCAGCTACTAGTCTGTTAACTGGAATTGTTTGGTGGACCCTAAACTTGGCCCCGTGCACGATGCGAAGAATAAGGGCTCAACTTCAAAGCAGGACTCCAGGGGGAATAATCCACCTCTCAGAACATTTTTGGAGACCTTTAAAAGCCTGAGTGTTTGAACTGAGGCAGGCTGTCACGAGGTAAATGGTTCCCCCCTATCCCTAAAAGGCTTCACAATAGTTTTGGCCCCAAAGACCTTTGACTGACTCTGTTTCTAAACTTTTAAAAAGGGGCTTTAATGCTGCAATTTTAATCCGTAGCTTTATCCTTGCGAGCAGTTCCTTTTTTTTTTTTATTATTGCCTTGCTTTTACAGCACATTACTGCAAATGTCCACATACCGAAAGGGTGGGGCTTTCGTTTTTATCCATCCTTTTAAAAATAAAGTAATGGATAAAATAAAAGAACGCCAAGAACGCCAAATGATCAAAGCCTCCAACAATGTACGGAGGAGGAGGAGGGTGGCTTGTGGAACAATGAAAAAACTGAAAATGGAACCCTTGAAATCCCCTGGAGTTACCAGGTGATCCTGAAGGATTCAGAAAGAAAGGGGAGCAGAAGAGCCCCCCCACACACACACCATCAGGCAGAAAAGGGGGCATAAAGGGAGGGCGGGGGGGGAGGAAAACAAGACCAATGACAGAATTCAGTTTCCCAGGAAATCATCTTGCACAAGCTAAGATCCTGTTAGGGTGAACAACCTTTGGCTGTGGGTCACATACACACAACTCCCAGGACCCCTTTGTGAGGGCCTTGAGCAACCTAGAGCTGGCAGGCCTCTTTGGACTTTTAGGCATGACCCCTTAAAACAGGGGTGTCGAACTCAATTTCATTGAGGGCCGCATCAGCATTGTGGTTGCCCTTGGGGGGCCGGGTGGTTGTGGCCAGGGTGGGTGCGGCCTACTGGGTGGGCATGGCTGGAGTAGGTGTGGCCTACTGGCCAGCTCTACATCATTCGTGTCAAGGGGGCCTGTGGGGGCCTGGGCAGGAGTGGGACAGATCTGAGGGTCTCTGGCAGAAGGGGGTGGGACCGGGGCAAGTGCCAAGGCATGGTCCACCGGGGCAAGTGCCAAGATGGCCACCACAAAATTGTACATTGGCTCCTGGCCGGCCTGGGCCAGGGCCAAGGCAACGGGGGCCGTTCCCTCACTGTTTCCAGGATGGCTTCGTGGGCCACATGAAACCACTTCACGGGCCGCATCTGGCCCTCGGGCCTTGTGTTTGACATGTCTGCCTTAAAACTACCCAACTCCTTCAAGAAATCCCCAAATTGTTGGCTCTGCCATGGCACTGCCAGCAGAAGCAGTGGCCTGTGCAAGAATGCTGACTGCCAGCAATGCACCATTTGGTCTTTCCAGCCAGGATGCCCAAAGTTTTGTGCCAAGCTGCAGAGTTTGGAACGAGCAGAGAGGAGGGAAAAAATGGGAAGGGAGAATGATGGTAGCTGAAGTTTGACCTATCTAAAGGGCATCAATTGGGCATAAGTCGTGGGTGCCCTGAAATCAGGAAACCACAGCTGAGCTGCAAAAACCTGGATGCCCATTGGATGCCCGTAGCCCAAATGTGGCAGATCTTCCCAAACCTCTCTCGGGAAAAGCACATGATTGACAGGAGGCCTCTCAAAGCATCCTCAAAGGCTGGAGCCACCAAACTTTCAGGTGGCAACAAACACTAGTTATGACTTCTGGAACAATCTGTGGTTGCCACCAGAGTAATTACAGGCTGCAGCGCTTATACTCCTGGGTGTGAGCGAGGAGGAAACACACCCTTCCCCTCCTGTGCTGTCCCTGTCAAGCTCTGCCAAAACAAGCAGAGCAGCAGCCAGGACCAGGGGGGGGGGGGAAAGGAATGCAGGTTAATTCGTAGCACAACTTTTGATCGGCCCCTGCCCCGCTCAACTCCTAATTATATTTTGCAATGAGTTGCACCAGGTGCTGAAGTTGTAATCAAGGGTATGGTGGGAGGAGAGGGTTGAATCAAACGGTGGCTGCCATCTCTATGCTTTGGACAAACCCCCCCCCCAGAGAGCCCCTGGATATAATGGTGACTTTACACTAGCTTCTGTGAGTATAATGAAATAGGTCAATTTCTAATAGATGATGTTTTAGGATTTAGGATTTTTAGGATTTGTGCTCTTCTTTGGGCGTCCTCACCGCAGAAACCTGGGAACTGTACTCTGACAGGGATGCTGAGCCCTTGCAGGCACTCCCAGCCTCTGACTAGCACCTGGAGGAAACAGGGTGAGTCTTGGAACACTTAACGATTGGAAAGTTCGCTCCTATTCGGACCCTGAGTGCTTACCTTCCCAAACTGCTCGAAGTATTGTTTTACATCTTCCACGGTGGTGTTCACAGACAAGCCGCCTACAAATATTTTCTTAGTCCGTGTTACCATCTAGAAAAGAGAAGAAAAAAGAGGCTGCAGGGCAAGATTCAGAGTCGTTAACGCCCTCCCCCCTAAAAAAAATAGAAAAGCTTTTGCAAGAGAAATAAAGCTGGGAATAAAGCTAGCCCACTTCCGGATGGCCAGTGCAGGCAGCTGTTCTAGAGATCCCACGCCGAAGGTGTCCCCTGTTCTGCCGAAAAATGTCAAAATCTAGAGTGAAGAACTTGTGCTGCAGCTTAAGTGCTCCCACACTGGGCATCTTGCCTACAAACAGCCTGGATCGCAATCACAACCTGATACACCAGTTGCGCCCCTTTCTGGATCATGACGCCCTACGCACGGTCACTCAAGCCCTCGTTGTTTCCCGCCTGGACTATTGCAACGCTCTCTACATGGGGCTCCCCTTGAGGTGCACCTGGAGGCTCCAGCTAGTTCAGAATGCGGCCGCGCGGGGGACTTTGGGGGCCTCTAGACACTCCCATGTAACACCTCTCCTGCGTGAGCTGCACTGGCTGCCGGTGGCCTTCCGGGTGCGCTTCAAGGTGTTAGTAACAACCTTTAAAGCGCTCCATGGCAATGGACCTAGTTATTTGCAAGACCGCCTCCTACCAAACACCTCCCTTCGACCAGTCCGCTCCCACAGAGAGGGCCTCCTTAGGGTGCCGTCGGCCAGACAATGCCGGCTGGCGACCCCCAGGG